TGAATTTACCGGTATACAGGTGTTTGATTATCTAAAAAATGTGTGCTAAGTTATATGGTTACAAAATCTTAAGTCTCACTGCAAAACTTTGTAAATAACAAGCAAATGATACAGTTGGCTAAAAGAACAAAATTATACTTTGTAAGCAGTTCATAGAGTAATAAGATTCGACTGTACACGTACATTTGGAATGTACATAAATACGGTAATTTCTGTTAATTAATTAAATGTACAGAATTTTCTTAAATATTAAAATCTAACGTATATTATTTTAAATCATCCAACGGAAAAAATCAATTAGTATGCTGAAAACGCTACCAGAAAAGGTAAGAAGGTATCACATAAAAAGATAATCTAAATAAACAAAACTCTAAAATAATATTTACACGTTTGTATCAGCTTAGTGGGATAAACCTGTGGTGGTATGAGGTGTCAATGACGCCATTTTATGTCCAATCTTGCATAAGTAGATCTCGTGTCTTGCATGTTTGATCATGTTTTGCAGTAAATGCAAATTTTGCATTACGCTTTGGGGAATAAATGTCATCTTTAGTCAAATCTTATGAATCCTTCTATAAATTGAGCGTATTGAGGTACATTTTATTAATTGAGATGGGCACGCCACCTAAGTGCGTACTTTAACCGAATTATGAGTGAAGAGCGAGATGCCTTGTGTAGCTTTGTTACTGAATAAGAACAGGTGTTTCATTAGTCAGGTACTTTTATTAAAAACAAAATAATTAAGGATAGCTCGTCCAGTTTAGAACCATAAAAGGCGACTTTTTATTTCTATGCGAGCACTTTAACCACTCAGCTATCCAGCTGGAGAAAATAGTAAAATAGTATAAAGTACAGCTTTGAGATGATTACCTTCCAGAGCTACAAATGAAATCATGTTTACAGTATCTTTTTCTCAATCCCTTCTGCAGTGAAAAAGGTAAAGGCGAGTACTTGATGGCAACAGGACTTAAATATTTTTTTCAACTGGTATTTTAATATCTTATATGAAAAGCATTATATTGTATTAACCTTTCCAACATATTATATTCAACGCTATGGGACTGTATCACGCTGAGGATCTTTTTTTTGGATTCAAATACATTGGTTTCTTATTCTGTTTGAGTGTTATGAGTCACGTGTCATTATCCGCTGTTTTGCTGTTGATAGATCCCTCGACGCAGTTTCTATCTTGCTAAGCACATTAGTTAACCATTGATCAAAACATACGAGAAGATTTCTTTTGTCCTAGGACCCTAGGCACGAGCCCGGGATTGTTTTTCACATTACTTCAGGCTAGACCTAAGGGTTGTGGCAACATCACTTAGATAAAATCCATTGGTGGTTTGGCGGGATTTAAACCCGGGACCTCATGGACCAAAGTCCTGCGCTCTAACCAGTAGACCAGCTCGCTCCCCTGATATGAGATGATTACATGTTGTTAGTAATTCTCGTTTGACGTCATAAAATATGTGGTAGTGGTATGATCTTTGACATTTATCAGTGATTTCATTCCAATAGTGTACAACCATAAATAATATGTCAACATACACGAGTTACAACGCTGTTTGTCGTTTGTCGTTATCGTATGACTTCATGGCGTTTCTAAGACATCTTGGACATCATTCAGTGGATCATTTCCAACAATGTATTATCATTCATCAAAACACAGAAGTTTATAATTTGTCTGTCTTTTTCGTTTGAAGTCATCAAGTAAGTCCATAGAGAGTCGTGGTTAATAATCTTTGATTTTCTGACAATAGTTGTATTTTGATGTTGTACAACTATTACATGTGATTAAGACGTTATTTGTAGTTTTACATTAACAATGTACAACCACCGCTCAGCATAATATATGAGTTTGTGTTTATAATGACGTACATTCCCTGTAGAATCAATCATAAAAATTATTTCAGTTTTTTTTTTTAATTTCCAGCAATGCCCAGTCAGCACTAGCAACTACAGTCATTGGTCAATATACACGATGGTATACATTGTTACGTGTATAAGTTGTTTGTGTTGTTCTCGTATGACGTCATCAAGTAAGTTCCAAAGGGAGTTGTGGTTTAATCAGTAATGCACAACAAACGGGCATCCTGGACGTCCTGTCAGTGGTTTCCTGTCTCCTGTTCAACATCCGCAGCCTGCCATCCTGACGACATACTTACCTGGCATCCTGACGACATACTTACCTGCCATCCTGACGTCATACTTACCTGCCATACTAATGTTAAATCATTTCTGCTTACTTATCATTAATTTTGTATTGTCGGTTCCTTATTGAATTATTATTTACAAACCATTAGTGTAATGAAAGTGGTACAACATGAACCTATGTTTATTTTAATCAAGGAATTCAAGGGAAAAAATATTTGCGAGTTACATAAACGCATACATTATCCTTAACCTAAAGTATAAAAATGCAAATACCTTAAAAATATTATTTATTAAATATGTAAATTATCGTATAAAAATACAAGTTCTGTATTTAGAGCAAGACACAACATACCGTCCGTTAATCCAATGGAATGGGTAAATTAATTAACTGTTTGTCTATAATAAAAATAAAGCAATCGAAGTTCAAATTACAATTTTTAATCGAGTTTTTGACACAATAATACAAGATGGCAAATATACAGTAAGCTTACACACCTTATTTTTTATACAAATTACGCTATGGTACTGTCTAACCGACGTATTTATTTCTTATCTCAACACGCTATATTTAAGTTTAGAGTAAATATAAATATTATAAAGGCAATTCCATAAAAAATAAACAAAATTAAAAATTATAGGAAGTAGTAATTGTAACAATCAATTACAAATACACCTAAAACCGTTACTTAAAAGTGATATTTTTGAGTCAAAATTAAAATCATCAATCGACAACCCAAAAATTAAAACTAGTCCACAAGATTTAATAAAATGTATGTTTTTATGAAACGGATTGAAATAAAAAGACTTATTCAGATATTTTCCATGTTACGAATTTACAAACAACTCATCTCTTGGCAATCAGAATCGAGAAAACGAATTAAAATCCATTACGGTGTGTATTTACACAACTACGTATGTTTTTAAATATCTCTAAACAGTTTTTAATCACAGAAGAGGTCCACAAACAGTGTTTTCTCTAAGCCCCGTTATCTCAGCTCGCTGAGTCCTTTGTGTTGCTGATAGCTGCAGGTGACGTCACATCTACCTTGGACTTACCTTACAAAGAGAGCTATCAAACTCTTATAACCATTGGCCGTAAATCTTTAAATGTACAGCAGTTGGAACTTTGAAAACACATTTTATTCACGCGGAATATTTTTATGTCTCGAAAATACAAATATCCACGGTTACGTTTGACTATTTTTTTATTTGTCATTTACAAATTTACTCTGTAAATAATTCACGGAAATAGAATACCATTTGTAAATATTCCTATGAACAACATACCTATAGATATTAAGAATTATTACCAATAGAATTATACAATCTATGACAGATAGATTCAATTCCAAAATCATAACTTTGTCTAAGATTTTTATTAAAATATTGTTACATAGTGCTTCTTGTGAGAAGATTCTCAGTACAAATATATCTCCTAACTCCTCTCACTTTTACTTGATGGAAGTCATACAGCTTAAGAAGATTTTGAACCACTAGCACACGACAATATAAATTTATTAACATATTTTTATAACTTAACAATAAAACATAACTGCTGCCGATATTTAAAAAAAGTTGAAATTGCCATAACATAAATCCACAATGATGAATCTCTTTCATAATATTTTACCATAATACATCTCTTACCATCTCTTTGTTCTCATAATACCAAGGTTAGTATTTAGAATACAACTAACTTACAAAAAGGTAAATGTTCTTAAAGGTACGCGCTATGAAAATTAAATAGCGTCTCCGAGGAAGAGTCTATAAAGTGAGGGAATTCTTAAACAAGAAAGGGTTGTTTTTACGCTGTCTTAACAAATCCTATTAAAGCATTTAAACAGTCACACAGTGTTCTTGACGACGGCTTTACTTTAATAAACTCTTTGTAAGCTTTCAAAAGTCTTCTTGGATCCAAGCACAACAGCTGTTTACTTTGCTTGCTTTGATTATGATTTCAAAGCTAATTTTGCTCGTAAGTTTTATGCCGGAGTAAATATGAAAATTCTGGTTTGCAAAACACCATTATGTACTTAGTTGGTGAAATAGTATGGCAGTTGGAGAGAAACGTAATTCATTCGCTTAGTTCCATCTAAAATGCCAAAATATAGTTGTTACTGCATTATAATAAAAGTAGTAAATTTATCAAACCTGAACAGTTAACAACTATTATATATTTTTACATAAATTTTCATATTCACTCATGAAATTTATTCACAATTACTATCTATAGCCTCATACTTTCCACCAATGGCTAGCAAAATTTACCACTATGTCCTTCACTGATTTTAAAAACTGTTATACAGTGTTCAATGGAAACTACCATTATGTCTCTGTCCCGAAAAACCAGTCGGTTAAGCTTTTACCGGATTGTACTGATTTACTATTGATTTACTGGTTTCCTAATAACTTGGCCTTTTACAAGGGTGTGACTTGCACCTTTTCATGTAACCTACCACTTAAACTATTTCTCCTAGTTTTCGTTACCTGTTGTAGTCGAACACTCATAATGTTTCTCGAATGTGGAAGACTACTTTCTCTAGCCATTTCAAAAAATGCCATCCATCTACGAGTTATTCGTAGCACTACACCAAGCTGTATCCTACCATTAACAATTTTGTCATTAACGTTCACAATATGGTATATAAAATACTTTATCCAGCGTAAAAAGTGTTTGAATAAACTAATAGTTAATGAAATAGTACACTATTCATATATTTGGATACCCTAAACTGTTCATAGCATTTACACATTCTAAAGTATATGTTTAATGTTATTATCCTTTCTATTTTTCCTACAAAGTATCCAGCTATCCACAGTAAATATGGTTTCTTCTCATGTTCCAGGGCATAATGAAGATGAGTAAGGTGGGTAACCAGACCAACTCGCAGGACCCTCAAGCTGTCAATTCCAGAGTGTTTGTGGGGAACCTCAACACCTTCCAATGCAGCAAGACGGACGTGGAGAGGATGTTCCAGAGATATGGACGCCTTGCTGGTAAGCCTTCCCTACGAATACCCTCTAGTAGCTTGTATATTAAAAAATAATTATAACTAATTAGTATGTTTAAGAGTCCGTTTAGTGGATTAACTCTGGTTCATCGTTTTGAGGAACGAAATCATAGGTTGAAAATTCTAGTTGTAGGTAATATCTAGGTACATGAAAATGTAAATGCAAGATGTAAAGGTAAATATATTTATTTAATTTTCGGTACTTTTGCGAATATATATTAAGGGAAATATAGGACAACCTAAAATTGGAGTAGTAGTCACCACAAATAAATAATGCAATAGCCCCGTTTTTACAATAGGTTTAAGCTCTTAAGGAAACACCGTTCGTTTAAATTGCTAAGATGCAATTGTACACCTATAGATCGAATAAAAATGTTAACTCCACCTTCTGTTAAATTTAGATTTACTCATTGAACCAATGTTATTTATGAAATACTGATCATGAATCTAATTCTAACATTCATTTTAATTCCAAATTGTTAGTATTGAATCATGCAGGAACAGATTTTCAGGTTTCCTTTGAGGGATAACAAACAAATATTAAGGCAGGGTTTTTAAATAGTAATCGAAGACTTGCATCATGCAAAGCCAATGATATTTTTGTTCCTCTAATCGAGTAAAAAAAATCTTGTACTGTACCTTACATAGGTTTTATAGCAAAAAAGAAATGAAAAACGAATTATCAGGTTAGTAGACTACCCCTGGAGTGCGTAAATAGAAGATGAAAGCTGATGGAATGATGAAGAAGCCATGAAATTAGTAGGGAGTTACCCTTTAGATCGTCCAGAATGAAAATAAGTGGTTGGCAGTTGCAGCAAGTTAGCGTTTAATGGGTCATTAGACATCTCATCAACTGTATCAATCATATGATGAGAAGTACGTTGGATTTTACGCTAGTTTGGCATGAAATCTTCATGAATGGCAACCCTGCTTATATTTATAAATACTATGACGGATGTATACAAAAGTTCGATTGGCTAACTTTCATGTTATACTTTTACAAACATTGGAATTTATGGTTATATCGTATTGTTCACTCGAAGAATTTCTATGTCAAAATGCATTTAGTAACAACTGCTTTGTATACAGTTTATCTAAACTTACAAGAATATATAGCGTAATTTCACTGTGTACGGTAAAATCAATAGTATATTTTCAACTGCTTTGGCTAGAGATTTGCCTTTTGTAATAGCCAAATGTAAGTGTAAGAATGAAGTAAATATAACCCTATTTTATTAAGTTCCAGTACAGCACAAAGTAAAATGTGCAAATAAGACTAACATTTCTACAATGTTGAATTGTTGACTATTCTAGAGTCGATTACTGAATGGTCTAAAACCAGGAACAGGAATAAAAATTATATGTGAACTACTTTTGACTCTGAGTTATGTTAATTTTATTATTTGTTTAATGCAAACATAATAATTATTATGTAAGAGCTCATTCTTGTCTGAATTTCAAATTCTCGTATAGCATACGATTTATCCCTAGCTTTCGAAGCATTCACACGTTTGCCATAACTTAAGTAACCTATTAGTCATTCATATACCCCCCCCCCTTTATATCCTACTAACAGTTTTGATTCAATTAAGTTTCGTCAACGACGTTCCCAAAATCACAATCGGAGCTTTAGAAACTCTATTAAAACACTCTAAATAAAATACAAGGTTCGTTAAATATTCCCAGCTCGGTTAAGCGGCATTATAAACACAAACGGTTATCATCCGCAATTCATTCACACCTCCCGGAAGCGCCGCTCAAATCCCGGCGTGTTTAAAACAGCTTAGCGCCTTAGTCACACGTCCCGTCTGCTTTGAAATAACATTCGACGTTCCCGTCTGTCTCGGCTGTTTGAAATATAAATAAGCGACTGGAACAGAATCGTGCTGATTAGTCAGTTTGTTTGGGCTACGTCAGATTTTGTTTTTTTTTGCGGCCCGTTTTTTTTTTTGTGAATTAATTTACAATTAACGATTGACGATTGAATACATTTTGATTGGGAAGCTTATGACAACCGTTTTTAGATATTTAGTTTAGCATGATGTCTAGCATTATAGAAGGAAACGATTAGACATATGCTAAGACTTTTTGAAGAGCTTTTATTAGGTATAGTGCCTAAATGTTTTAAGAGTCGAATGAAGTTTCCTAGCTAATACCTAGATGCAATTTATCATTGATACAGTATTTGTTGGTCCCTTGAAAAATAATGATTTCCTACAAAACTTAAGTAGAGAATGATTTTTTCACCTTAACAATAATTGCCACACAAAGTAAAGGATTAAGGATACACAAATGGTTGAGCGATCATTTAATATAAATGGTTTAGGTTACCTTGCTTCGTCAAGTGGTCCTTTTTCAGTAGTACACTACAAGCCATCATCAGAAGTTCGAAACTAATAGTAGTGTACTACTAAAAAAGGACCACTCGACGAAGCAAGGTAACCCGTAACCATCTATTTAGCTTAAATTTAGCCATCCAGAGGCTACTATACCGTTAGAATATTTAATATTTTTTATATAATCATTCATCTAACTTGTTGAGATGGCACATTATAAGTTTCACATTATATGTGAAATATAAACAAAATACATCCAGCACTTTGAGATTTTCAAATAATTTGTTTTATGGACATTCAATCACACATCTAAACAAGTTCAACACAATTTGATAAATTCACATACAAAATGTTTCAATTAACTCGATCATTGAGTGTGAGAAAATATCTTACCAACAATATGAATAATTCGAAGACAACAACTTGGAGTTAAATAGGGGAATTTAGAACAAAGATAACCCACCACCTTTGTTTTTTTAATTGAATTAAAATTAATACATCGACTAAACACGACGGGTTCTGGAGCTTAAGAAGTTTCGCTGGATAAGCGGCGGACAATGATCTGAGCTTTTGAGGGGGATGGCGGCATTGTGTCTTCTACTCTCGGAAACAAAACTTCTTCTTAATCTCTCCGTCCTATCCACTTCAGGACTGAATCATCTAGTGCAATTTTCATAACGCTACGGTATACAAAATATTATTAATGTAAAGTTAATTTGCAGCCTGAATACGCTAGCTTAAGTAAATGATTCGAGAAGCAAAAACCACTAGACAAATATATCGACTAGTAAATATATATTTTTAAAAATACTCCGTAATTGTTAACTTTCATCATAGAATAGGTTGATAATTGTGAGTAGGTAATAATTTATCATTCAAAAAGAGGAAGTGGGTAGTTGCAGGTGCGTATTTAGATAGCCAGTAAAAAAATGTGATTAATATTTGATGGATAAAGTAAAGAGCAAACAGAATAAATGGGTGAAAAAAAACTTTAGCATATTATAATGATAAATTTGGCACACTACTCAAATATATTTTCCTTCTTCAAAACACGATTTGTACTATATTAGATAAGAGTTTTGACTCAATGATAAATTTACAATCATCAAATGTACAAATGTTGTTGCAGTGGTTAAAGTAATCCAACTAGTTTCTTCAAATAGAACGCTATAAAGTGGCAAAAGCGAATATATCGTCGTAGCTTATAAACTCATACACTCCTAGTTATATAGGTTTCTGACGAATGGCTAATGTGGTTTACATTTGCCAGTGAAATACCAATAAACTCACATAATCAACACGTACACCTGCGGCTGTTAAAATAGCTTTACGGCTTAGTCACTCCTTCATCCGAATTCAAAATAACTCCGCGGGTCCAGCTGAACGGGTTGTTTTTAATCAAAACCCATCAGATTTAGTTTACGGACTTTGTCTTTAAACGTGATTTTAATTTCATCTAGGCTAGTTATGCTACGTCGGCCGTTTTTGTGTGAACTTTAACACCACTTTTTGAAATATGTGTTGGACAATTAATTGTATTTGGTGCAAACCTTTTACCACTTATTTTTTAAATATGAAGACATTTAAGAATTATGATTACATAAGGAATTTCAAAATTTTAGACAATTAATATTATTGCTTAAAACTTTGATGATTATTTTTCGTAGGTACTTTGTTGTGTATGTTTTTTATTTGCCTAGTCCTCTTTTTGGTGTGGCGGTATAATAATATATTATATCGTTGTTTTGCAGTTGTTTTGGTTTAGTCTATTGTGTCTATCGTTTTCCACTCTTATAGACAGTAGAGAAAAAACATATTATTATGATAATTTTGTTCCATATTTATGTTTCTCAATTCTTTTAATATCACATCACACAGCATGGCCATTTTTACCTACATTTAATTGCACTCAATATGATGCTTAATCAATCGAGAGCATTTTCAGTAAAATAGAATATATTTTTAAAACGGTTGTCGATGGATCTCAATTCCTAATAAGCATAAATCACATTCTTATTGTTTGGAGTGTATATCTATTTTCAACTTAATCCTTAGAAATCACATTTTCTGGCTGCCTTTGACGTTTGGTTATTTTTTGGTTACTTCTAATTTTATTTATTTTTCAATCAAACAGTTTTCATGGACAAAATGTCATATACATAAATCCCAAGTGGTATAGTTTAAATTTAGATAAGGAATGGTTTCAAACCTAAACGGAGAGAGCCAAATTAGGTAACAGACTGAAGACAGCAAGACATTGGTAGAGACAGTTCGTGTTACGTGTGTGGACAGCACCCCGGGGCGATCCGATACGTCAACAGCACAACACACATACACACACATACACACATACACACACACACACACGCATGCACACAGAGCGGTATTTATTTCTCCTATGTAGCAAGAGGTTTCGTTCGTTTGCTCCATTATGTTCCTAGTCTTTGTTTTACATTTAAGTTAAACATACAAGAATAGTTTGGTACCGATTAAATGGACCTTTTCCGTTAATTCACTGCTTGGAATTTGGTTGGGTTAGGTTAGGTTAGGATAGGTTTTCTAACTCTATACTAACCTAACCCAACCAAAGTTTAATTAATGATTGCTCTAGAACTAGTGGTAGTGAATTAACAGAAAATTTCCCGATTAT